CGTCAGTGCTATAAAACCAAACTTTACTGTAAGTCTACCGACGGTGACAAACATCTACATTTTAACTCACATAATCACTTAAAGAATAAGTGCTCTGTGGTTACAATTTCTACGGACATAGTCCTGAAGCTCTATAGTAATGAATTTTTTAAAGATGAAATACAGTATATGAAATTAATTTTATACAATAACAATAACCATCCAACTAAATTTTTTAATAAATCGCGGAAGTCACTTTAAATCTGTCTGTAACACTAACAAGACTAATAATAAACGTTACTTAATCTTACCGTATCATAAAAACTTGAGTGAAAAATTACAAAGATTACTTAACAGTACATTCAGTATTGTGATATATAAAAGGTCTAATAAACTTAATGCATCATTAAATAATTCTGAGAATAATAACTCTCTAGGCTGGGTTTACAAATTGTAATGTATCTGCGAAAAATATTACATAGGAGAAACAGTGAACACCGTTACGCATAAAATAAAGACCCCCTTGTCAAACTGGAGAAGAAGGATGATCACGGAAGAGCATAATCGACAAGTGGTAATGAAACACGCAGGAAGAAAACAAAGCAGAGTAAAGGAACAATGAGAGAAGACCTCCGAGACTGTGCAGCATGCGGCGAAGCAAGGACACCTCCCATGATAATCTGAGTGTAGCATCATCATCAAAGAAAAACACTGGCTGTACTGGCGCGTAAAAGAGGCATTAATGATCGATTAATGCGAAAATGTCAAACGTGACAAAAAGATACAAACTCAACGCGGAGTGGATTAGCCTCGTTGCCCATACACTATTTAATCAACAGTACGAGCCCAAAGTTTACAATCTGGTTCTGAACGCATCAATTGCTGCGGACGAAAAACGAAATTAACGAAACTCTATCACCCACCCACCTTGAAAAAGGCTCATATGAAACGTCGGTATTGGTTCAGACACTGGAATGACCATATTATTTTTGCGTTGTGCATAATTGTAGTGCGCTTTATGCTATTTTCAGTATGACCACCAACGCCCGAACAAAATATTCGTTCTATTCACAATAAATTGTCTTCGCTTCCGGTTTTACTACATTATTATTTGTTTGTTTTCCAAAAAGAGTGGCTGTACCACCGCATTGCTTTAAGTTGCTGATTGTTAGAAATCATTTTTACATTTATCTGAAAATTAGTCGTTTCACTGTTCTCATACACTCATTACCTTCACCAAATATGTCCATTTTCATGGCTTCAGATATGAAAGGTATTCCTCGCTAAGAATATGTAAAAAGGGAGTCATTCAA